ATACAACTCCTGGTGTCTGGTATGCAGCTATTGATTTAGCTAATGTCTTTTTCTCCATGCCCATTTCAATCACCAGAAATAGTTTGCCGTCAGCTGATAAGGCCAGGAATACACCTTCACTATCCTAATTTAGGAGTATATCAACTTTCCAGCTGTATGCCATAATTTAGTCTACAGGGATTTTGATTATCTTTCTCTTCCACAAGATGTTACACTGTTCTATTATATTGATGACATTATGGTGATCGGACTTAGTAAGGAAGAAGTATCAATGGATCTATTGGTGAGATATTTGCATGCTAAACCCACTGCCACTGAGTCAATTCTGACTCATAGTGATCCTATAGGACAGAATAGAACTGCCCTGTAGGGTTTTCAAGTCTGTAAGTATTTATGGAAGCAGATTGCCCCATCTTTCTCCCATGGAGCAACTGGTGAGTTCAAACTGCCAATCTTTTGCTTAGCAGCCTAATGCTTTAACCACAGCACCACTAGATGGGAAATCAACATGACAAAAATTCAGGTGCCTTCCACCTCATTGAAATGTCCAGGCAGCTAACAATAGTTGTTGTTGTTGTTATGTGCTGTTGAGTCGGACCCAACTCATGGCGACCCCTCCTTGGGTTGCCGAGGCAATATCACTACAGAAGTAGATTGCCCGACCTTCTTTCCGAGGAGTGGCTGGTGGATTTGAACTGCCAGCCTTCTGGTTAGCAGTCAAATGCCTTAGGCACTATGCTACCAGAGCTCCCTTAACAAAAGCAGTGTGGGATATATTGAGATATTCCTTCTAAAGTTAAGGATAAGTTACTGCATCTGGCCCATCCAACAGCTAAAAAACGCCAAGTGGATCTTTTGGGACTTTAGAGGAACAATGTAAGTTACATAAAGAAGTGGTCCAAATGCCCATGGTCTCTACTTCTGTCACATTACCTTCCATCTTCCAGTCTGCAACTATGGTCTCACGGGGAGTTCCTTATTGATCAGTTGATTGAGGATGAGAAAACTAGTGCCTGGTTTACAGATGGTTCTGCATGATATGCAGGCACCACTCGAAAATACACAGCAGCAGCACTGCAGCCTCATTCAGGGACCTCCCTGAAGGACAGTGGTGAAGGGAAATCCTACCAATGGACAGAACTTTAAGCAGTGCATCTGGTTGTTACTTCTAATATATACAAGAATGCCACCTGGCCACTTTGGGCCCCTCATGCCTCTGTATCAACAGGCAAAGAAGGGAGTTACCAGATTGGCTGAAGTAATTGATCCTGATTACCAAGTGGAAATCAAATTGATATTACACAATTGAGATAAAGAGGAATATATCTGGGATACGGGAGCTCTGGTAGCATAGTGGCTAAGACACTTGCCTGCTAACCAGATGACTGGCGGTTCAAACTCACCAGCCACTCCTCGGAAGGAAGGTTGGGCAATCCTACTTCCATAGTGATACTGCCTCGGAAACCCAAGGAGGGGTCGCTATGAGTCAGGTATGACTCGACGGCACATAACAACAACAACAACATCTGGGATACAGAAGAGCCCTTAGGACATCTCTTGGTACTACCATGTCCTGCCATCAAAGTCAATGGAAAACTATAGCAATCCAATTCTGACATGACTACTAATGGCCCAGACCCTTCAGGAATAATGTTTGTGTCACCCAACAAGGCATAGAATCATGACCAGCTGAGATGCTTGCTGAGGTCAAAGGTAATACAGAATGTGTGGTGGAAGAAGGTAGTTCTAAATGCCAGTTATGACCATTTTGCAGAAATGAGGACTTCAATTGTTATGAGCATTTCTTCTTTGTTTTATTATATGTGTATATATTGTTGTTGTTGTTGTTATGTGCCATCAAGTCGGACCCGACTCATAGAGACCCCTCCTTGGGTTTCCGAGGCAGTATCACTATGGAAGTAGATTGCCCCATCTTCCTTCTGAGGAGTGGCTGGTGGTTCAAACCCACCAGCCTTCTAGTTAGCAGTCAAGTGCTTTAGGCACTATACTACCAGAGCTCCCATGTGTATATATATATACTTACATATACATATATAGAGAGAGACAGAGCTCTATGGCAAGGAGGGCAGATATATACATATGTGTGTGTGTGTGTGTGTGTATACACACATACAAAATATATAATATTTTTGTTTCCTTCCCTCCCTTAGTCCATTACTTATCAAGTAAATATAAGATGTAAACAGGGCTAGTGTGTTTTAGGTTGTACACATGTTAGTTTTATCATGTTAGACTCAAGTATGACTTATTAATTGTCTTTATTTAGAGATGATATATGGTCTAAGGAGCTGTATAGAAGTGAGAATGGCCAGGCTTCGTCTCTCATATTTTGGTCATGTTGTCAGAAGGGACCAGTCCTTGGAGAAAGATCTGCTGGGTAAGGCAAAGAGTCAGTGAAAAAGGAGAAGACCCACAACACGATAGACTGACACAGTGGCTGCAATGATGGGCTCAAGCATAGCAAGGATTGTGAGGATGGAGCAGGACTAGGCAGTGTTTTGTTCTGCTTACATAGGGTTGCTATGAATCAGAGCTGACTCTACAGAACCTAACAACAACAAGGAGATGTGTACAGGTGCCAAGTTGACAAGGGGTAGAATTTTATAGTTATGTGTCAACTTGACTAGGCCATGATGCTCAGAATTATGTAATTATCCTCCATTTTGTGATCTGATGTAAGGGAAGTTTCCTTGGGGAGTATGGCCTGTATCAAATGTATAGGCAGTCACCAAGGTATGAAAAAGATCGTCCCTAACTATATTTTTAAGAATTTATTGGTAAGTTGGAACAGGTACATATGGTTTTAGCCTTACTTGAGTGTAAGAAAAGGCTGTGGATATTCTGGAAAGGCACTCTTGATCCTGCATTCAATTCATCCTCATCTGGTCTCTGGTTTGGGGGATCTGAGCTGGCAGTCTGCTGCCTGATTTGCAGATTTTGGAATTCGCCAGCACCCGCAGCTCCATAAGCCAGCAACCTGCCATCTGAACTGCTGATCTGGGGTTTGTCAGCCCCTACAACCACGTGAGTCAGGAGAAGCCTCTAGCCTGACTCCTTAACCATGGATTTGAAACTTACCAGCCTCCACAACTGAGCCACTGCCTTGAAATAAATCTTGTTATATATATTTTTATAAATATGCTTCACTAGAGTTGCTCCTCTAGAGAACCCAGACTAAGACAGCAGGAGAGGAAACAGTAGGAGCTAAGACATGAACACAATGGTGAGAAATTTTTGAAATTCACAGCATCATGATGTGACCACACTAAACATTCTTCCTAAAAGAGTAAAATATAACTCTATACACCAAGTTGAAGGAACTATCCCTCAAACATCACTTTGTAAAACATCATTTTGTGAAACAAAAGCACAAAAGACTAGTATATCTGACAGTTAGATGAATCCTCACATTTAATGAAAATTATACCAAATGTAAATGTTAAGCAGACCCCTGAAATAATCTAAGCCCTTACTTTGATTTCTTGGTTCAACATGTGGCAATGTGCCATGTTAGTGTTAATTTTATTATGGGCAGAATTCCACCTCCCAGAAATTGAGCCATTTTGTCCTAGGAAGCAGACACATCTACCAGTAATCATCAATAAATAGCAGTTGAACTCCAAGCACATATTCAGCATTGGGATTGTTATGATAATCAATTGGAAAAAGTGTAAGTCTAGTTACCTGTCTGAAAAAATTTACAATCTTAATGAGGAAACTATTAGTATTCATTTCTGGCATTGTGCTAAACACAACATTTAAAAACAAACAAACAAAAAAAACCCATAAAAGACAAAGATCAGATGTCATCCCTGCCCTCACAAAATTTATAATCTATAAATCTGAAACTATTAGAAAATAACTCAATATATAATAAAATGATTATTCAGTGCATAATTAATATGGCATGCCTTGTTCCTCTCCATGCTCAATTGCCTTTTGTGTCAACAACAGCTTCAAAATAGTCTTTTCAATACAACTTAAGAAATTTCAAAATCAGAGTTTTAGAAAATAGCAGATTCATTATTTTAAACAAATGAGTTTTGTATAATGTACTATTTTTCATTGCTGCCAAAACAAATCACAACAAATTTAATGGTTTAAAACAAAACAAATTTATTATCTTGTAATTCCAGGTTCAGAAATCCAAAATGGACCTCACTAGGCTAAAATCAAGGTGTCAGAAGGGCTACATTCCTTTTGGAGGGCTCTTGAGGAGAATCGGTTTCCTTGTCTTTCGTGCTTCTCAAGGCCACCCACATTCCTTGGCTCATGGCCCCCTTCTCCATCCCCAGAGCCAGCAACATCAGACTGAGTCCTTCTCACACTGCCATCTCTCTGGTTCTCACTTTTCTGACTCCCTTTTTCACGTTTAAGGACCCTCTTTTTACACTGGGACCACCCAGATAACGCAGGATTATCACCCTATTTTTAGCTCAGTTAATTACCAATCTTAATTGCATCTGCAACCTTAATTCCCCTTTGCCATGTAAAAACCAAACCAAACTCACTGCCATCGAGTCGGATGCAACTCACAGCAACCCCTCCTTGGATTTCTGAGGCGGTATTACTAGGGAAGTAGATTGCCCAACCTTCTTTCCAAGCAGTGGCTGGTGGGTTTGAACCACCAGCCTTCTGGTTAGCAGTCAAATGCCTTAGGCACTACGCCACCAGAGCTTCGTTTGCCATGTAACACATAACATAGTCACAAGTTCCAGGGATTAGAACATGAACATCTTGGGGGAAGGGATATTATTCAGCCTATCGTATATATTACCTGAAAGATTGCTTAAAAGAAATTTAAACTAAAAATATTAATTTCTAGACTCAAAACTTAGTTCTATTCTCTAAAGCAAAAGAATAAACACACCAGTAGGATTACTGGGAAAACCTTGCAATAAAATGAACAATTATGACATTTGTGACAGATACTACAGTTAATAGATAATAACTTACTACTTAAGAAAAAAATATAAAAATCACAGTTGTGTATTTTGACTGGTTATTGAAGCTCCTTGGACTTCGTCAACAACATTCATTTCAATGGGGTTAGATGGAGCACTGGATGCAGCAGAAATACTCTCCAAACATTCCTTCAACTCTTCATATTTCTGAATGCTTGTCCTTTCTCTTTCTCCTGACTCTTCAGCATCCTTAGAGAAACCTGAAACTTCTTCTCTTTCTTCCTCTTTGGAAATAGCGAGTTTTTCTAGGGATTCCACTACATCTCTCAACTCATCCTCAGAATCTTCAAAATTTCTGAAATTATGAAGAGTAAAAATCAACTTTATTACATGAAAACTATTTTCTCCTTTTTTATTCCCTACCCTTTCTTGAGCAATATGAGCACTGCATTTTCACACTAAGAAATTATTTATTACTTCAGTCTGGTTTTCCTGAGGGTGATAAAAACCGATGTTGGAGAATAGGCTTCTGTTTAGTTGGACTGTGTTCAACAGTCTGTTTGGGAATATCCAGCTACTCTTTGTTTAAGAGGAGAGGAAGAGAAAAGACAAAAGGGAGAAAGTAAAAGAAGAAAACACTAAAGAAGCTATCATATACTGAGCCCTTACTGTATACTAGTCTCTGTCCTCAAGCATATCATACATTCATATTTAATTTAATCTAGCAACACCATGAAGTAGACATTATCATAGTCAATTATGGATGGAAAACAAAGACTCAATTGTGTCTAATTGAAACATTGATAGTTTTAGAAGAAAGGGAGTAAGTATTGATGAAAAATATCTCAAAGATCACTAGTAGTTTAGTGGCAGGAGAAAGAGACTAAGAAAAATAAGTAAGAGTCAAGACATGAGGGAGCAGAGAACTTCCAGAAAGAAGCAGCAAAATAAGATGAGGATTGAGAAATGGTGATCGGCTAGGCAATTTCAAGGCAATAGAAGACCTTTGAAAGTATAGTTTTAGATAAGCGCTGCCCCATAAGAGCCAAACTGCAGTAGATTATGAAGGCAAACAACAACAACAAAAAAAGGTAATGGGAGATAAGAAAGTGGTGACAATAGGAAGCCTGCTCTGAAACAGAGGGTGGAATCTAGAGAACACAAGCAATGGTTTTTTGAATTTTTGAAGATGGGAAAGACTATCAGTTGGCATCGAGTTGACCCTGACATGGTGATCCCATGTGTGTCAAACTAGTTTTCTTTTCTGTAATTAATTTTATTTTTGTTTTGTTTTTGATAATATACACAGCAGAACATACACCAACTCAATAATTTCTACATGTGCAATTCAGTGGCATTTATTATATTTTCACCCTTCTTTTCCAAGTTGTCCCTCTCTCATTAACATAAACTCACTGCCCTGTAAGTTTTCTATCTAATCTTTCAAGTTGCTGTTGTCAATACAATTTCATATAGACTGTTGTTGTTAGGTGCTGTTGAGTTGCCTCTGATTCATAGTGACCCTATGCACAACAGAATGGAACCCTGCCCAGTTGTGTGCCATTCTCACAATCCTTGCTACATTTGAGTTCATCATTGCAGCCACTCTGTCAACCCATCCTGTTGGGGGGTCCTCTCCTTTACTACTGGCCCTCCACTTTACCAAGCATGATATCCTTTTCCCTTCTAACAACACAACCAAAGCAGATGAGATGAAGTCTGGTCATTCTCATTTCCATGGAGCATTCCAGCTGCTCTTCTTCCAGGACAGATTTGCTCATTCTTCGGGCAGTCCCTGGTACTTTCAGTATTCTTCGCCAACACTACAACCCCAAAATATCAAGTCTGCTTTGGTCTTCCTTATTCACTGTCCAGCTTTCACGTGCATACGAGGCAATTGAAAACACCATGGCTTGGATTAGGCGCACTTTAGTCTTCCAAGTGAAATCTTTAAAGAGGTTTTTTGTAACAGATTTGTCCAATGCAATATGACATCCAATTTCTTGACTGCTGCTTCCATTGGTGTTGATTGTGGACAAGTAAAAGGAAATCCCTGAGAACTTCAATCTTTTCTCCAATTATCGTGATGGTGTTTATTGGTTGAGTTGTAAGGATTTCTGTTTTTTTCTATCTTGAGGTTTAATTCATACTGCAAAATATAATCTTTAATCTTCTTCATCAGTAAGTTTTTCAACTCATCTTCACTTTCAGCAAGCAAGGTTGGGCATCTGCACATCGCATGTCGTTAAGGAGTCTTCCTCCAATCTTGATGCCACATTCTTCTTCATACAGTCCAGCTTCTCAGATTATTTGCTCAGCATACAGACTGAATAAGTATAGTGAAAGGATACAACACTGACACACACCCTTCCTGATTTTAAACCATGCAGTATCCATCCCCTTGTTCTGTTCAAAAGACAACCTTCTGGTCTATGTACAGGTTTCTCATAAGCACAATTAAGTGTTTGGAATTCCCATTCTTCTCAATGTTATCCATAATTTGTTATGACCCACAAGGTTGAGTGCCTTTGCATAGTCAATAAAACACAAATAGACATAATTTTGGTATTCTTTGCTTTCAGTAAAGATCCACCTAACATTAGTAATGATATCCTTCATTCCATGTCCTCTTCTAAATCCAGCTTGCAAATCTGGAAGTTCCCTGTCAGTATACTGCTACATCCATTTTTTAAATTATCTTCAGCAAAATTTTGTGAGTGATATTAATTAATGATATTGTTCTATAATTTCCATATTCTGTTGGATCACCTTTCTTTGGGATAAGCACAAATATGGACCTCTTCCAGTCAGTTCACCAGGTAGTTGTCTTCCAAATTATTTGGCATAGATGCATAAGTGCCTCTAGCATAGCATCCGTTTGTTGAAACATCTCAACAGGTATTCTGTCAATTCCTGGAGCCTTCTTTTTCACCAGTTCCTTCAGTGGAGCTTCAACTTCTTCCTTCAATACCATTTCTTCTTGATCATATGCCACCTCCTGAAATAGTTGAACATCAACCAATTCTTTTTGGTACAGTGACTCTGTGTATTCCTTTCAGCTTCCTGAATCATTCAATATTTTGCCCATAGAATCCTTCAATATTGCACCTCAAGGCTTGAATGTTTTTCTTCAGTTCTTTCAGCTTGAGAAATGCTGAATGTGTTCTTCCCTTTTGGTTTTCTAACTCCAGGTCTTTGCCCATTTCATTATAACAACTTGTCTTCTCAAGCTGTTCTTTGAAATCTTCTGTTCAGCTTTTTTTTTAATCTTGTCATTTGTTACATTTGCTTTAGCTACTCTCAGTTCAAGGGCAAGTTTCAGAGTCTCTTTTGATATCCATTTTGGTCTTTTCTTCCTTTCCTATCTTTTGGATGACCTTTTGCTTTCTTCATGGATGATATTCTTGATGTCATCCCACAACTGGTCTGGTTTTCAGTCATTGGTGTTCAGTGTGTCAAATCTATTCTTCAGGTGGTGTCTAAATTCAAGTGGGATACAATCAAGGTCATATTTTGGCTCTTGTGGACTTAATTTTCTTCAGTTCCAACTTGAACTTGCATATGAACAACTGATGGTCTGTTCCATCAGCTCCTGGCCTTATTTTGGCTGAAGATATTGAGCTTCTCCATTGCCTCTTTCTATAGATGTAGTCAATTTGATTCCTATCAATTCCATCTGCCAAGGTCCAATGTGTATAGCTGCCATTTATGTTGTTGAAAAAAGTATTTGCAATGAATGAAGTCATTGGTCCAGCAAAATTCTATCATGCAATCTCTGGCTTAATTTCTATCACCAAGGTCATATTTCCAACTACCAGTGATTCCTTTTTGTTTCCAACTTTGGCATTCCAATCACCAGTTATAATCAATACATCTTAATTGCATGTTTGGTCAATTTTAGACTGCAGAAGTTGGTAAAAATCTTCATCTTTGGCTTTAGTGGTTGGTGTATAAATCTGAATAATAGTAGTATTAACTCTTCTCCCTTGTAAGTGTGGGAGCTCTGATAGTGTAGTGCCTAAGGCGTTTGACTGCCAACCAGAAGGCTGGTGGTTCAAACCCATCAGCCACTCCTCAGAAGGAAGGTTGGGCAATCTACTTCTGTAGTGATACCGCCTCGAAAACCCAAGGAGGGGTCGCTATGAGTCAGATCTGACTTGACAACAGGGAGTTTGGTTTGGTCTTGTAAGTGTATGGATATTATCTTATCACTGACAGTACTGTACTTCAGGATAGATCTTGAAATATTCTTTTTGACAATGAATGTAATGCCATTCCTGTTCAATTTGTCATTCCCAGCAGAGCAGACCATATGATTGTCTGATTCAAAATGGCCAAAACCAGTCCATTTCAGCTCACCAATGCCTAGGATATTGACCTTTATGCATTCTCTTTCATTTTGGACAATTTCAATTTTCCTAGATTCATTCTTTGTACATCCCACATTCTGATTATTAATGCATGTTTGCAGCTATTTCTTTCCAATCTAAGTCATGTTCCATCAGAAAATGGTGGTCCCAAAAGCTTTACTCCATCCATGTCATTAAGGTCAACTCTACTTTGAGGAGGCAGTTTTCCCCAGTTATATTTTGAGTGCCTTCGGACTTGAGGGGCTCACTTTCCAGCATTATATCAGACAACACTTCAGGGCTATTGATAAAGTTTTCTGGTAATATATCAGACAGTGTTTCACTGCTATTCGTAAGGCTTTCATTAGCCATTTTTTTTCAGAAGTTGATGTCCCATCCTTCTTTCCAGTCTGTCTTGGTCTGGAAGCTCCACTGAAACCTATCCACTATAGGTGACCTTGCAGGTATTTGAAATACTACTGGCATAGCCTCCAGCCTCATAGCAACATACAAGCCACTATAGTATGATAAACTGACAGATGAGTGGTGCATCTATCCATATAGATAAAAAAGCACAATGCTCAAGGCAGACATTCTTTATTTGTTAAGTTAAAGTATTGTTTGGTTTTAAGAAAACTTAAGGGGATATTTTTGGCTTAAAGTTTAAAGGTTTTCAATGGCTGATTGTTTGGAAGTAGATCACCAGGCCTCTCTCTGAGGTGCCTCTGGATGGACTTGAGCTGTCAACCTGTAAGCTAACAGTTGGTTGCATTAACAATTAGGGCATATTTATATGCTGAGGAAAAAGAGATAATACAAAGATACTGAAAATATAGGAGAAAGGTGGAATAATTGAAAGGAACAAGGTCTCTGAGAAGAGACTGGGATTCAGACCCAAGGAGAAGAAAGCTCTCAGCAGGAAGAGACATGTTTTTTACTCTGAGAAAGAAGATAAGGACAGAGAAAGAGATAAGGACTCCTGTGGACATAGAGAAGTTATAGAGTT